AGCTGACAAGCCCGAACTGATTCCCTGGCAGCCCCGATTTCCCCGTGGTGCTCCACACAGGACGAGAGCAGATGGAAAACAAGTATTCGTACAGTCTAGAGCACAGATCTTTAATGTTTTTAATACAGAAAAGAAATTCCAATTCTCCACTTAAACCCACTGCCCTCCTAGACCTCCTTGTTTTGTGTTGCCCCGGCCATACACACCATAGAGTTCCAACTACCTCTCATGCAGCCTCAGGACCTTGGAATAGATCCCCTCTTTCAGAAATTTCTGAAAGGAATAATCGAGTTCTGTTCCTGGGAGCTTCTGACACTTGGCAGGGTACCCTGGAAGGATAGGATTCCTCTTCCCCTGATGGATCTTTCAAAAGCTTTACACAAGAGATCATTAATACATGATCTGTACCAAATTCATCAAAGCAGGAGGCTGCGATTACCTAGGAAATGTCAGACAACTATGGAGAACTTCTGGAAAGTTAGTGGACAGCAACCTCTCTGCCATTTTTATTGCTGTGTAAGATACAAACTCATCTCTCCCTGTCCCTGCTCAGACTGACAGCCCCCATCTTGCCAGCAAAACTGCTCCAGCACGGACTCCCTCTGCCACGCAGGACAGAGACCGTGGCTTCTGCTCTGTCACTGTTCCCTTCCACGGGCCTTTGTGTGCTCTGGCTCTCCCTCCTTCCTTTACTTTTCAGAGCCCCAGAGTGGGTGCTCTGACCTCAAATTTGCTCTGGAAAATTTTCCGTGTGGTCAGGGAAGGTATTTCGCTCATGTTGTCCCACCGGTGCCAATCTCCAGGTGTCGTCTCCGTGGCTCTCGTCAGGGCAAAGAGCAACGTGCAGATAAAGGGGGATTGAGCAACCCAGCGCTGCAAAGGCCAAGCCTGCTGGGTCAGAGGTGAGCAGAAAATCAGCAGAAGACCAACAAAACCCCGAGCATCACCATGTCACATGGGAACAGGATGAGGGAGCATTCGGGGGGGAGGGTTCTAGTCGGTAACAAAAGAAGTGAAGGAGTTCAGGAGACATGGCCTGGGACCGCCTGGGGAGCTTTGGGGCCCGGGACTGCCAGGCAGAGCATCCAGCAGCGGGTTCAGGAGGCGGAAAGCATGTGGCAATCGTTTTTTATGTTAAGATGAAGCAAAGTGCCGAGTCTGGTCTAAGAGCTGGGGCAGATAGAAGGAGAGCCAACCTCTCTCCAAGTTGAGACATTGTCCCTGTCTGACATTTTGTTAAGAGTAAGTGAAGAGCAATAGATTCAAACCCGGCCTCTGCCAGGTACAACTTGTGAGTTGTTGTTGGCGCATGGTGTGTGGCTGAATAAAGAGGGACCTGGGGCTAGGAAAGGAAAAGAGAGCACTCATCATGCCCAGAAAAAATTTCAATTTTACTTCTCTATTTTGCAGCCCTTATTGCAACACTACTTAAGTCAGACTTTTAGGCAAGGTCCCCTCCTACCCCCTAGAGACCTTCCCACACCACCTCTGTGCTCTCTTCCCACACCACCCTCTTTGCAGGGACACTCTGCTCTGGAACCCCTCACTTCTCCTCCAGCTCCCCTCCAAAACACTGCCCACAGCACCCCGGGCATTGCTGCAGCTGTCAACTTCTGGCATCACCTCACTTTCCCTGTGCCCCAGCTCTGCCCCTCCGTGCTGTTCCAGGCTGCAGCTCTGTGTGATGCAGCTCTGATCTTACTGACCTGCTGAGAGCTACTACAAGGGAAATAATAATAATAAAATAATAAACGGGACAAAACTTCACCAAGAAGCTTCAGAAATTTCAGCCAGCCTCTTTGTACAGCATGACCCTCAGTCCACAGACCTTCTGATAAACACTTCAGTGTTTGAGCCATCACCACTAAACTAACAGCATTCCCCCCAAAGCTGGTGTCATTCCAGGGACAGCTGCTGCAGACCTGGATTGCATGAAATGGAAAGCTTGCAAGAAATCCTGGAAAAGAAGACAATTTCCAGGAAGAAAATGCCTCTGCAATGCTTTACTGTAGGTCTGATGATGGAGCTGGAAAATCGTGGCTTCTACAGCACAAAAGGCAAACTGGAAAGCAGAATTTAATTCATGGCAGAGATGAGCAGTGAGGATGGGATTCTTCCCTCCACCTTTTCACCACGCTGGTCTCCTCCTGTTCCTCTCCTGATGTCTGTATTGTTTCACCCATGAATGTAGAGGAATCTGGATGCTATTGCATCAGATTTTTTTTTTTCCTCGAAAATGTTATGTTCTTACTAAGTAAGTGGTGAGTTATGCTGTCTCCTTCCTCAGCTGAATAGTTCTGAAAAAAAGAATTCATGAAATCACTAGTAGGAAGGAGCTTTTCACAGAAGTGCTGCTTTTCTGTTGAAAATGGCTCTGCTGGGAGACAAGCTGCGGAAGGGCTGCTGCCAGTGCCTGAATCCTTTCGCCAGGAATGTCTGCATCTCTTTTCCTATCTGAAGCATCTCTGAGGAGCTTTTCCAGGACAATTATTAGCAGCCTCTCCACATCTGTCCAGGCCGAGCCAGGCACTCGCAGGGACAGAGCTTGGTGTGCCCAGACCTCTGCTCAATCCTGTGGTGCGAGCCTTGCTCTGCACCTGTTCCCATCTCAAAACCCCCACTTCTGGCCACGCATTTGTTATGACAAGTGCAGAAACAATTTAAAAGAGACCAGACTTAGCTCAAAACCTGCTTGCCGAATGCTGGGGTTTTGGATAAGTGGTTAGTCCCGCCAACAAAGTTCCCATGAGAAGCTGAGAACGGACGTTGGCTCCATGAGAGTGGATGCTGGGATTTGAGGTGAGCTGGAGGAAGTTTAAAGAGATCCAGGTACAGCAGGGATGTGAAGGGGAGAAGGGAAGGAGGGGACAAGCTGGGCATCCAACCTGAATTACCACCCAGCTGCCATGTGATCCCAGTGACTGCGAGATTACTCAGCACTGGCCGGGAAAGCAGGTGTGGGCCACACCATCCCTGATAGAATCTGTTTCACATGACACTTGCACAGGTATTTTATTTTGTTAGGGAAGATCAGCCCAGGCAGGAATACAACTTTCTGCTGCCGAGCAGCAGAGAGTAGGGCAGAAATTCGAAGAGGGCAAATTTAGATCTCCAAAAATATCTTAAGAAGGTGTTCAGGAATTTTACCAACCAGCTTCAGCGTTTGATTTTAGCCAGCGACTGGCCAAGAGAGACCAGCCATGCACTAAGCAGGCCACCTTCTGCCTGTGAGCAGGAGACCTTCTGCCTGTGGGTCCCTGAGACGGTTTGGAGGTAGGAAGCACATGAGACTGATTTTAAGAGTTCGGTTGGAAGGGCCAGTTAGGGCAGCCACTGGATGTAACTGCCAGATCAGAATGCAGGATAAAGGTGCAGGATGAGGGAGTAAACAGCCAGAAGAACAAGCCCTGGCTCACTGCAACTTGCCAGTATTTGCACCCAATACAGATGTTTGTATTTATGAAGGTATGGGCTCCAACTACAACCTCCAGACCCAGCTCTCTGGCCAGGCCCAGCTCCAATTTAATCTCTGGTGCCTTCACCAAAGATTAACTTGATAGATAAAGATGGAACTAGAAATATTTGAAGCCTGAAAACCTGTTAGGGGGCTTTTGTAATGGAAAAAAAAAATCCTATTAAAACATGAAAAGAAAAAGCAAATAATAAAAAAAAGTCCGATGATCCACTGAGTGATTCTTGAATTCTTCCTCTTTTCAGAGTTCTGAGGTTTGAACATTAAGAACAGTTGACTGTTTGAATCATATAATGCAATACCTGTTCCTCTGGCTTAACGTTACAATATTTCCCACACCGCAGGATTGCTTCACATTATTCTAAGAGGCAGTGTCATTTTCCCTGCAGTGCTGGGTCTTCTTTACTGAGGCGAGGACACTCCTACTTCCTTTAATTATATGTTTTGTTTTAAATTAATGTCCTTTATTCTGGGGATGAATCACCAGCTTGTAGACAGGTAAATGTGGGAGTAAGAGAGTGAAAATATAAGTTTGATTCCCAAGGTGGGTGTCTTTAATTAAAACGGACATCAAGATTCAGTCTTCCTTCCCAAACTTACCCCACAAATCAAAAAACTTTGGGCTCCACGTTCCCCTGCACGTCTCTCACTTTCCTCCTGAGCCACGTCCTGCCCGGTGGGTCCCCTTTGGTTTCATGTGTGGATCCCCTATCGCGTCTGTACCCTCACAGTTGCACCATATCCTGCAAAGCAAATACGCCAGGATGAACTTCCAGGGCCCCATCCCTGCACGGGGCGCTGGGGAGGGAGCGCTGGGTTCGCTGCACTGTGGATGTTCTCAGCGGCGAGCAGGGAGCCCGGAGCAGTGCCGTGCCCTGCTCCAGCTCCTCTTTGCTCGGCCCAGGGCTCGCCGCTGGAAAGCGGCTCTGTGCACGTCCCTGGGGACACTTCTGCCTGCCAGTGGGATTTACCAAAGCAAGCACGGGATGGAGAGTAACGGGATCCGTCTTTGGTTTGCAGCGTTCCCCCTGCTTTGCCAAAAGAACTTGGAAAAATTCCTCCTGCCTTGATTTCCCCGAGGGTGAAACGAGACCCAGGGGGATCTGTGCCCAGCCCCGCTGCCAGCCCCGGGCAGTGCCCCGCTCTCCAGTGTCAGAGCTGAGCCCAGGCCGGCTCGGCGGGGGCAGGAGCAGAGCCCGGCACACGCGTGTCCCCGAGGCCGAACGCTGCTCGCCGCCGTCCCCGCCGGACCTGGCCGCGGCCAGCCCCGACCTCCCGCACCTGCGGGCCCTCAGCCGCCCCTCCCTCCCTCCCTCCCTCCCTCCTTCGCCGGGTGTGTTGTGGGCGGCCCGGCGGGCACCGCACCGCACCGCACCGGCGCACCCGCCCCGGGAGCCTCCTCCGGGGCCGGGGCCAGCAGTTGCCGAGCGTGCGGCGTGGCAGGCGGCCAGGCGGTGACGCGCCTGTTGCTATGGGATCCACCGCCCCTATAAATAACTGAGGAAAGGAACTTTCCTAAGTCAGAGACTTTAGGACACGGGACCCAGAACCAGATGGTCCGGAGGAGACGCGCCAGCCCCCGCCGCAGCTGCCGGAGCGGTGAAGCCCCGCCGCGCCGCAGGGACTGATCCAGCCCGGGTGGGCAGCGCCGCGGGGCCGTGCCCACGCCAGGGACTGCGGCAGGGTCTGGAGCCCCCCACCCCGACGGCGGCAGCTTGACCCTCTGCCGGGGGGGGCCCCCTGCGTCGTTTCCTCCTCCCCGCATCCCCCTTTGCTTTAATGCAACGCCTGGTGGCCTGGGACGCAGCATGCCTCCCCATCCAGCCGCCCGCCTTTAAATCCATGGAAGTGGCTAATTTCTATTACGAGGCGGACTGTCTGGCTGCTCTCAACAAGCTGCACCCGCGGGCGGCCGGGGGCCGCTCCATGACCGAGCTCACCGTCGGGGACCACGAGCGAGCCATCGACTTCAGCCCGTACCTGGAGCCCTTGGCATCGCAGCCGCCGCCTCCCGCGGCAGCAGCAGGGGGCAACTTTGAGCCTCCGTGCAGCAGCGGCGCCGGCCAAGATTTCCTTTCCGATCTCTTCGCCGAGGACTATAAAGGCAGCGGCGGCAGCAAGAAGCCCGACTACACCTACATCAGCCTCGGCCGGCACAGCCACCCCTGCGCCAGCCAGAGCCACAAGCCGGGGGGGCTGCCGGGCTGCTTCCCGCCCCAGATCGTGGAAACCAAAGTGGAGCCGGTCTTCGAGACCCTGGACTCTTGCAAAGGGCCCCGTAAGGAAGAAGGGGGCGCCGGGCCGGGACCGGGGGGCATGTCCTCGCCCTACGGCAGCACCGTGCGCTCCTACCTGGGTTACCAGTCGGTGCCGAGCGGCAGCAGCGGGAACCTGTCCACCTCGTCCTCCTCCAGCCCCCCCGGCACCCCCAACCCCTCCGAGTCCTCCAAGTCCGCCGCTGCCGGCGGAGGCTACTCCGCCGCCCCGGCGGGCAAGAACAAGCCCAAGAAGTGCGTGGACAAGCACAGCGACGAGTACAAGCTCCGCCGGGAGAGGAACAACATCGCGGTGCGCAAGAGCCGCGACAAAGCCAAAATGCGCAACCTGGAGACGCAGCACAAAGTCTTGGAACTGACGGCCGAGAACGAGCGGCTGCAGAAGAAGGTGGAGCAGCTCTCCCGGGAGCTGAGCACCCTCAGGAACTTGTTCAAACAGCTGCCCGAGCCACTGCTCGCCTCCTCGCCTCGCTGCTGACCCCCGGCCGGGCGGCGGGGCGAGCGGAGCCGCCGGTTCCCGGACCCGCTCCGCGCTCCCGGGGCCGGGGCGAGGGGGGGCGAGAGCCCGCGGCGGGCGGGCGGGCGGGGTTGGTTTTAATTTGTGTTGTTGCTGTTGGATTATTTTTGTTGTGTGTGTGTGTCTTTACAGACATGTTGGCGGAAGGCTCCGCCGCCGCGCGGGTTCTGAGCGGGGTCCGGGGGCTGCGGGGGCGGGCGGCGCGGGGGGACCCCGGCCCCGGCCCCGGGCGGGCTCTGCAGGCTGCTGGGCGCTGGGGTTATTTAAAAGAGCGAGAGGAGAGCAAGGGCAAAGTGATGCAATCCTTTAAGCATGGCTGGGAATGCTGTGTACATGATGCAATCTCGTGTAACTGTCAGTCATGGATTGAGTAATCTGTTAAAGATGTTCTTACAGTTTTTTTTATTATAAAGAATAATCTATTTCTATAAGAAAATACATATGTATATTTTGGGATCTATGCATTCTTGCTACATTTGAAGCATTAATGAACAATTTTAATAAACTTTATGACTAGGTTAAAAAAAAGTAGCTTGTTTTATTTTGAAGGCACGTTTAAAGTTAGATTAAACACAGGGTTGAAATTCCAGCTGATCTGGCTCATTGCTGTGATCAGGGATAGGGATTTTTGTTGGTCTTTTAGCTTTCTCTGACGCAGAGAAAGGAAAAGAACCAACCAAAACCCCCAAGAGAAACCCAGCAAAGAGCAGAGCTGGAAGCTTTAGCCAGTTCTTGTTGCCTCATTTTGTTTCCTTTAATCACTTGGTTTAGCTGCCGCTTGGGTGTTGTTTGGGGAGGAGGTGTTTGTGTTGGGGTTTTTTTTGCACTTCATGCTGTTCTGAACGTGTAGAGCAAGATGTGCTATCCAAACCATGACCAATCCTTGGCAAATAACACCAAGTCTGAAGTGGGAGGGAGGAAGAAAAAGGGAGGAAACTTTAAATGAGTTTTTGTTTGTGTTTGGGTTTTTTTTTTCTTTACAGAGTTTCTATTCTCTATGATTCAGCATTTCTTATGTTTGTAGTTTACAGGAATAAACATGAGAAAGTAGCATTTCTGTTGGATGTCGGTAATTTTGGTCGTTGCTCAGGAAGCTCCCATGAGACCCCGCCAGGTGAGAGTCTCCTGAACAACCCCCTTCCCTTTGCTCTTGAGACATTTTTCTGAAAACTGAAGATAGAATTCTCTGATGAGGAGTGTTTGCTTCTATATGTGTGTGTTTGCTGGGGGCAAGTGATGGGTAAGTGGGGGGTGGCAGAGGAGGAGGAAGTTTACAGCAGGCCAGAACTTTGTTTTGGAGAGATCCAAGGCTCTGCCTGCTGCTGGAACAGGTCAGCCCTGCTGGGGCTCCCAGCTCTGTTATTCCCCACTGTGTGCTCCCATGTCAAGGTCTGTAAGAAGTGCACAGTCTCAGGCTGGTTACGTGGAGGGAGTCGGGCAAATAATCACGTCTTACTCAGCATTTTCCATTTTCCTGTTAGGCTGAATTTAAACATGAATTTTTTAGATCCAGATTCCCTGTGCCCTGGGAAAAAAACTCCTTAACTGCCTGTGCTCTGACAGCTGAGCACAAAAGGGCTTTCCAGTATAAAGACAGGCCTTGAATTTGCTCCTATACATTCCAATACAAACAGCAGTGAGCTGCAGGACAAGTCTGCAACTTGCTGCTTGTTTCTAGTGTTTCTTTAAGCAAAACATGTTTTCTGCTGAAAGAACTGTTCTGCTTTTTTTGACTCTCAAGATCAGAGCCTCCTGCGGGTCCATCAGCTGGAGCTCTCCCTGGCATTTGTTACACATTCCCTGCGCCCCCAGGAGCCGTGCCGTCGTGAGCAGGGCAGTGTTGGTCCTGGTACAGATTTCCCCCCTTTGTTTTTTAATTTGTACAGTGCAGTTCAGCTGTTTTTATGAGACCCCAAAATAGATTTTCTTGGGTGAGCTCCTGCACCAGCATGACTCAAGTCCTTGCAGGCAAGATCGACGTTAGATCTTGTCTTGACTGTCCCTCGTGACGGTGATTACTCCAGCCTCCCGTGGCTGTTTATTCTACTATTCGTATAGTTACGAAACTTATCCACATCGTTAGATCCCATTTTCTTGTTGTGCTGTAGGCCATGCAATGTTACCCAAAGTTACAAGCAGTGTTCCCAGTCAGAGCCCAGTGCTGCTGAAGGTGGAACTGCTGGAAGACTTAAGATGTCCTCAACTACCTTTCTTGCTTTCTTTCTTGCTTTCTTTCTTGCTTTCTTTCTTGCTTTCTTTCTTGCTTTATTTCTTGCTTTATTTCTTGCTTGCTTTCTTTCTTGCTTGCTTGCTTTCTTGCTTGCTTGCTTTCTTGCTTGCTTGCTTTCTTGCTTGCTTGCTTTCTTTCTTGCTTTCTCACTTGCTTTCTTAACAATAAAGCTTCCAACAAGAGTTCAGTTTGTGGGGGCTGGAAGGCAGGGTAGATTAAAAGATAAGATGTACCGAAGGTATTTATATCTGTTTAAATAATAGTCCAGTTTTGGAGATAGAGCTCTACCAGGCATGAAGGAGCTAATCCCCATCCTTAGACTCTGCCTGCCACGGCGCAGGAGAGCCAGGGCGGTGTTGCTGCAATTTAAAGAATGATGTTTAAATTACTGCTCTATTCCAATGTATCTCCTAATTAGGATTACAGATTTCTCCTTCAGGAGGAACCTTGTGCAACAACGATTTTTTTGTCAGAAAGATGCAGTTACAGACAGGAAAACTGAGGACACAAATGCACCAATTTTACACCAGTCTCACAAGGAATCTGTGAAGGAGTCAGAAGGAGAATTCCCGAATCCTTCATTCTTAATCTTGTATTACCCTCATAACTTACATTGTAGGAGCTTTGTAGCGCATGGAGGTCATGAAATACCCCACTTTCTAAACCAGCATGTGAAAAAGCCCCTGTAATTAAAACATCTCCTAGAAAAAAATAGTATGGAAAAAGTAGTTGGGAAATGAATCTGAGAAAATTCCAAGCATAAAGTAGACAAAAGATTCCAAATACCTATTCTAATTGCAGTGGGGGAATTGGAAAATCCCTGTCCAAACAGTGGCTCAGCTCCAAATATTGATTTATTTTCCTATAACAAATAAGATTCTGCTGGCCAAGAGCAGGACTTGGGACGTCTGGGCTGGTCTCTGACAGGGTCTCCTGAGCTGCTCTTCCCAAAACCACTCAGGACAGCTTGTGGTAGGATTGTGCAGTCCATGTGCAGGCAAACCATGCAGAGAAGTGCAGGCACCAGAAGATCTGTTTTGAGTTTTACGAAAGTTTTTAAACAGCATTTCATTTGGGCTTTTTATTTCTTTTTTTCTTTCTTTTCAAATGATGTGTTACACTGGCTGATTTCTACAGGTCCTTCTTATTGCTACTAAAATAACAAGAGTAGAAATCAGTCTGTAATATCAAATCCCTGGCACTGACATCCCTGTTCCAAAGCACCTGGCACTGGTTCATAAGGTGTTTATAATTCAGTTGTACTTAGTTCTTCAAAAGGAATCATATGTAGCATTTATAAAATATATTTAAGAATACAGTTATAGGTTTTTTAGTGGTTCTTCAAATTATGACTCTCTGCTTATCTGCCCAGAGTGTGTGTAACCCCATGCAGCTCTCACACCGTGGTGTTGCTTTCCCACTGTTCCCACAGCCTTCCATTGGTGACTCTGGGAAGATGCAAGAAAAATGATGTGTCTTTCTATACTAATTGTTCCTCCTCTGTCAAAGAAAATCACCCAAATTGCACCCAAGGGCTGCTGGATGGGAGACTTGATTACATTTGATAACAGTGTGGTTTCTCCTCACTGAAATCCTGTAATAGCCCGAAATTAGAGCCTGAAAAAAGCTTTGTGCACAAAGTTTACCTTTGCAGTTGAACTGTGAGAACAACTGTCATTGATGTGGGTGTGTGTAAAAACATGAAGTTACTCTCACACTGGTTTTCAAGCAATGTTTCGTTAGCTGTGACCAGAATTAAAGTCAGTGCAACTCTGTATCTGCTTTAATAAAGAGAAAAGCTGTATATGAGGCCAAATTACATATCTTCTTTTGTTATTTCTAGTGATAATGCTCAATGCCTTGCATTTGCCTGTCATTCCAATGACACAAAGCGAGTCCAAAGCAGGGCTCTGCATTCAGTTTGGGCTGGATATAGATGATTATATGGTGGATGGGAGGAATGAATTCAGATTAGAATTTGATTCTCTTTTTGCTCCCAATTTCTAATGAAAAAAAAAAATTCTTTCTACTCTCCTGAGTGTTGGCTGTTTTCTATTTATGTCTTACACAAATGCTTAACAGTCAGAATTTTAGGGTGAACCTTGTATACTAATGTGAAGTGTGAAAAAAATGTTAAACATATGCCTGGATGTTGAAAAGGTCCTAATATGTTAAATGAGAAATCCAAACAAACTCAGAAATATACTTACTCCTCCCAAAGAAACAATTACATTCAAATTCTGAACACTTTTTCCAATCAATCAATCAATCAAGTCAATCAAGTAAAAATAAAACCATGTGGTCAAACCATTCAATCTGTGAGAGACACTCACTGAACAAACAAGTGAAACCATTACAAGAATTAAGCTTTATTTAACTCTTTGCTGGGACCCAAAACATAGTCTGGGAGTTTAATATTTGCAACCTAAAGCTAAACTTTGGTAGAAAGTCTACACTATATCCTGAGGTTTTCTGAGGTTCCTGATTCTATCCTGTGAACTGCAGCTGTGTTGCCCCAGCCTGGACAGACAAGCAGCACAGTCTGTGGTGGGTTTGTAAACACCTATAAAGATTAGGTACAGCTTGGATTGCCATCAGGATCATGTGAAATTTATGGTGCCGTGTTTGCCTGATGGGAACTACGTGAAACTCCACGGAGTTTCTCTTTGCAGTGATCCTGGAGTGCCGGCCCTGGGGTTTGATCCCGGCACAGCCCATCCTCGGGAGCTGCAGCTCTCAGGCCTGGCCCAGCCCTGATTCTGAGATGCTCCTTTTGATCCACTGGAAATCGGAAACTCAGCTGGAAACCAAAATGCCTTTTGTGGTCATTTCCCCACCTGCTCAATCTGCTCAGTTGTTCAAATGTTTTGTTTTGAATGAAGGGCTTTTCTCCCCTCCAAGAAATGCTGGTGGTTGGATCTGCCTGGATGTGAAAACCAAGAGGGGAGAATTCACGAGGATAAATAAGTTAGCAGTCGGTGAAAATAATTGATTTGCACTTACAATAGGGACACATTTAGTTCCAAACCTTCCAACTGGGTGCCACGATTTCACAAAGCAGTGCCAAATTTAACTCTCGTTTGTTATAAATTTTTCAAAAATTTATGAATTTACTGTGGAAATTATATAATAAATAATAATAAATTCCAATAATATTTTCTAGCTAATTAAATGCTAAGGAAGACTATGATCTACATCTGGTTTTTACCTTGTCCTGTCCCTTTGGCTCTTGCCTCTGAGATTCCTGTATCACACATTCCATAGCTATCAAAACACCTTCCCAGAGTTCAGGGTATTTAATCAGGGGTTTTAGTTAGGTCTCATCATTTCACACAATTTTCAGAATAAATCCTCTACAAACTCAGGCCAGAGAAGGGCTGGCTCAGCCCGCAGGCCTGGTTTAGATGGGCTGGAACGCAGACACCTCTGGAAAGAAGGGAGCTTTTGCCAGGAGGCTCCGGGAGGCTCCGGCCCCCATCCCCACACAGACCCAGCGCAGCCCTTGTTTGTTTGCTATAAATACCTCGGGTTTGCCAGTCTATTGCAACAGCACTTCATTAAGCCTGTGGTAAGGAGCTCACTGATGGTGCCTAGAAATGACAGTCACAGGAATCACAGCCTCCTCCAAACAACCCAAAAATCCCTCCGATGCCTCCCCTGCTGTGTCCCCCCTCCGGGAGCTCCCCTGGGCTCTGGGGCACGGGGGGTTTACGATACATTTTCTATAAGCGAACGGAGGAGCTCTGGTTTGAGAAATGAATGTTACGGTGACACGATGGGAAAATATTTCAGTGCAACATGATGAAACAATTACTTGGCTGCAGTAATTCAGGAAGGGAATCGCAAGAACAAGAGAAAGTGCCTGGAGCCGGTTTGCGAAGCAGAAGGAGCGCGGTGGCTCGAGCAGAAACATTGTTTTGCTGATTTCCCCAGCCTCTGCCATCCAGACAACAACTTGGAGGTGGATGTTTCTGGCAGGGATTTGCCACACTTCCCTGAGCCTAGGTGTCCTGAAACAGAGATTCTGCCTCGATTGCTTTTTTTTGCACCACCAAAGGCCAGAAAACAAACCAAGAATGTAACCTACTGAGATACTGGAGCGTGTCTAACACTTCAGTGTACAAGGAGCAGAATAATATCTGTGGGATAACTTGGCACAACGAGATCAGTAGAATTATAAAAAAAACCCAGGAGTAATTATCAAGGAGTTTGGTTGCTTGAAGGAATGCAAGCTGGCCCCCAGCCATGAACACTTGGTGCCAGCTCTGTGAAGAAACACGACTTCCACGCAGGGCTGGTCTCCTGCTGCTGAGTAATTGATGACCACTCAGGGTGGCAGCAAACATCTTTGTGCTTAAACTTAAGAATAGTACTGATTGTTGGGTTAAGTCCACAAATCTGAAGGAATAGGAGAGATGGCAGAAGGCCTTGATGTCTGAGTGTAGCTACTGGGTGCAGTGCCCTTAACCCCTTTCAAAGCAAATTACAGAGCTACAGAGTTGATGAGTGCAGAACACTGACAGAAATTAAGATGCAAGGGACAAATACTGAGCTTTGGAACAAAAGAGAGAGTTTCTGGTCCTATATATTGTCTGTCAGCCCCTAAATGTAACAGGCTGCACGCATGTATGTGCAGCTCCAGTTCCAGGTGCAGTTGCCATAGCTGCAGGTGGATCTGCCTGCTACATATTTATATCCCAATCTTACACACGTGCTTCATTTTGTGCATGTAGCTGTAGTGATTTCAGTGGAACTATTATTACTGGAATGAGTAATGATAAATGCATAGATCTGTATTTACATGGATGCATTTACATGGATCTGTATATACATGGATCTGAGATCACGGCGTCTCTGGGAAAATTTTTGTGCCTTGCTCAGTTTTACAGCACATGCCCTGGAAAATTCTAAGCACTTTCATTTCATGTGTTTTCAAATTTGAGAGAGCTACGCAGGCACGTGGGCTGATTTGGTTGTCACTTGCTGTGCAAAAGGAGATGACAGCGGCTTCGGCATTTTTGCGTTTCCCAGGAAGAAAACCACAACCCACCAAAACACCCGAGAAGTGGGATACAGCTGTGTTCTAACAGCTGCTCTTGGGTCCCAATTCAACAGAGTACTCCAGGGTATGTGCTATCCAGGCAGAAGCAAAGCAATGCTGAACACAAGCTTTAAAGTTTCGGATGTGCCAAGTGTGCTCTGCTGAAACACATCCTTCTAGAGCCTGCAGCTGCCTGGCCCCGGGATTACACTGTGATGCACGAGCATAAATCCTGGGAAAGAAAACCTGATGGAAAATCTGGATGTCCGGAAAGATGGTGAATGAGATGCACTCCAGCAGGCCCAAAGGAATCCTGATTTCCTCCTCCTGCACTTCGGGAGCCCATCCAGCTTGTGCTGGCCAGGTCTGGCAGCCACTGTCTCAGAGCATGGTGTGATAGGCCCTGGCCCTGGATCAAAGGGCTCTTGAGCAATAACCCACTGCACATCAGCAAGAGCTGCTGCCAAGAACCATGGACTTCTCTGGGCTGGAAGACAACTGATAAAGTAGATGCTGAGAAAAGCAGAGATGCCTGCATTGGGCAACCTGAGTGCGACCAATGGCTAGTGGAAAATGTTATTTTTATTTTAGCTCTGCAATTGCAGGGGGCTGATTTGCTAAAGGCTCTCCATTTGTACAGTGCTTGGGTTTAGATTTTTATTTTTGCAAAGCATTTTATTTCGATGAACAGATGCTCCCACTTTATGAGGAAATCCACTACTTCTTGGTAGTTCTTCCTCTGTCAATACCAAATATGGGTTGACTGTGCCATTCCCCAGAATTAGGGAATTTTTCCTGTGGAGTTTACTTGTGAAGGATGAGGAAATCAGAAAAAATGAGAATGATGCCCTGAATCCTCTTGTCATACAGGCCTGTGCTGGTTGTAGGGATACAGTTCTCCAGCAAGGCTGACAGACTGTAAAGGGAGTGGCAAAAAGGACAAGGAGGCAAATCTCCATGTGTGAAGGGGCCTGGAAAGAAGGAAGTGATACCCAAGAGCACACAGTTCTGGGAAGGCTGTTGCAAGCTGTGGCAGTGGTGGGAACCATTTCCAACAGGCACGCAATGGACCTATTTTCCCACTGACCTCATGGTAACGTGAAAACTTCACTCCAGCGCTTTCTGCCAAGTCCTTAAAGGCAAAATCTCAGCAAATGGCTCCTGCTTCTGTGTGAATTCACTGGCAGGTGCTCCTCTGCACGAGCCCTGCAAGAGCTTTATGACCAGAGGGACACTGCCTATTAAACAGCCGCAAGCTTAACATGGTATTTACTGCAGGACTGTGCCTCTTTATTGCGCAGAGCGAGGGAACTCCCTGCTCAGCCCTCCAGGTGGTCCCTCCAGGGCAGGGTTAAGGCACACTGGGAGAAGGGGTGGGGTTGGGTGGGAGAGGCTTTCATTGCTGCCCTACCTGTTCCGGGCATAAATTGAAATGATCAGTGTCTAAGCCCTGCCAATTAGACATGCCTTACTGACATGAGAGAGCCAGGCTGCTGGGATAGGGAAAATGAACATTCTTTTTAAAACAAGAAGCAAAATCCTGCTTCGGTGCACTGGAGTCCCAGAGCAGGAACAGAAGAGGACAGCAGGGACTCTGTGGGGTGCCTGACCTTGACCGGACAGGCAGGAGCTGGGCAACATTCTGCAACACAGAGCAGCCCAGGGTCACATCCCTCCTCACAAAGTTGTGTACCCTTCCCAGCAGTGCCTGTGTGCCAGGGAGCCCCTGGAGCAGGTCTAGAGGATGAGTCTGCAGCCATTCACAGCACCCTCTCCTC